GAAAAGCCCATCAGTTAAGTTTTTAACAGTGAGATACTAAAATAAAATTAAACGTTTGGCATAGTTTAAAAAAAATAAGTATTAAACAGATTAAAACTAATAGTTTAGGTACTGAATGTTTAGTTTACCCAATAATAAAAACTAAAAATTTTACTTCAAAGAGGAAAGAAAAAAGCCTCCTGTTTTCGGTGAATCTCCAAAATACCCCTGACCCAGTCTCTCCCTTCCTTTCTCTGTCAAATCACGCTTCTCATATCTGATAAAACCTTCTCTCTCTCAATTTCTCAAGTCCTTACCTTTCTATTATTCCTTCTTTTGATATGGAGCTTCAGCGCCAGGAGGAACAAGGCCTCCCAGAACGAAAGGGGCAGAAACGGAAACTGGAGGAAGAGATCCAAGAGGGCTGTGAAATTTCCCTCCCCACCGGCGACGCCCGCCGTGCCCTCTTGGTCGAAGTAACCGCTCATGTTAGCGTGCTCGATTCCGCCTTCTCTTGGAGTGAATCAGATCGTGCCGCTGCCAAGCGTGCCACTCACGTGCTCGCTGAACTCGCCAAGAACGGTATTTTTTTTTGAAAATCTTCAGTTTCCAAATTACGATCTCAGTCTAATTTGAATTTGCTCGCCTTTCTTTGTCGCGTTTCTTTTACTGTTTTTTTAATTTCACGATTAACGGTAATGATCTTCTTTGTGTTTTTGTTTTCTTCGCAGAGGAAGTTGTTAATGTGATCGTTGAAGGTGGTGCGGTTCCGGCTTTAGTGAAGCATCTGCAAGCGCCGCCGTGTGAGGATGACGACCGAAGCCCGAAGCCTTTCGAGCACGAAGTTGAGAAAGGAAGTGCTTTTGCACTTGGGCTTCTCGCCGTAAAGGTGATTTTACTGAATATTTCTTTTATACCCCCCAAAATGTAAATAGGTTTGTTACTATCGTAATTTATGTTTATAAATTTGCATAGTTTATACTGTAGTTTACATTTTGAAGTTTGAATTATGTATTAGAAGTTAACTTGTTTCTTCACATGGATGGCTTTTTTATATTTGAATTTCTTTTTAGTAGCTTTAGTAAATTTGGGGTTCTATATAAGTTATTTTTTTCGTTAAAATTATGTTTGACGGTAAACTTTGAGAAAATTCGAGTTATGCTAATCTGTTAACATAGGCTGTTAACATATGCTAATACGTATTGAGTCTGGTATTTTTCTTGGTTTGCATGGATGGAAATATGTTTGTTATTCACTCTGCTTAATCATTGAATCTGCTAAATTCTTTATTGCCTTTGCTGATAACAGCCAGAATATCAGCAACTTATAGTTGATTCAGGGGCCTTGTCACATCTTGTGAGTTTGTTGCGCCGGAACAAGGATAGTTCTATTACTCGTGCTGTGACCAGTCTCATTAGAAGAGCAGCTGATGCTGTCACAAACCTTGCTCATGAGAATAGCAACATTAAAACTCGTGTCAGGTTTGCTATAGTTGTGCAGTTTTAACAGAAGTTATTTGTAATAGCTCCTTGTTTATTCTAATAATTATCTTGATTGGTTTTGACAGAATGGAAGGTGGAATTCCACCTCTTGTTGAGTTGCTTGAATTTACTGATACAAAGGTGCAAAGAGCAGCTGCTGGAGCATTACGAACCCTAGCATTCAAAAATGATGAAACAAGAATCAGGTAACAGATCTGCATTCGGAAGTTGGATTGGATAAAAATGCCTTCAATGCCGGTTAATGAACTGAATACCATGGCTTCGCAGATTGTTGAATGCGATGCTCTACCTACTCTCATCTTAATGCTAAGATCAGAGGATGCTGCTATACACTATGAAGCGGTAGGATTCTTGTTGTTTATGTTACTTAGACTCGGGTGTGAGGTGTCAGACAATGGTATACGTCTGTCACAGTATGTTAATTTGTTTTTTCAAGATTTCCATGCATTTGGAGAGTCCTTCCAGAATTATATCATTGTACCCATTCCTGGATATGTGTAGGACATGAGTATTTCAAGACAAATAATGAGTAGGAGCAACATAACTTAGATGATTTTTAGGCAAATTCCATTGGGGTTTATTTTTTTTACCAGCTGTTGCATCAAATGTTTATCCAAATGGCTTGTAGGTTGGTGTGATTGGCAATCTAGTGCATTCATCACCAAACATAAAAAAAGAAGTTCTTGCTGCTGGAGCTCTGCAACCTGTCATTGGGCTGCTTAAGTATGTTTAATTTGGTTTCATGTTTCTTTAACTTTTTTTACTTCTAACATGGGTTATGATTTGTTACTTTTTGGCTGTTCTTTCGGTCTGCAGTTTATCCAAGTTTCTCATTTTTTATTAATTATGTTTTTTATTGGAAAAAACAGCTCCTGCTGCTCGGAGAGCAAAAGGGAGGCAGCTTTATTGCTTGGACAATTTGCGGCAACTGATTCTGATTGCAAGGTGAGGCCTGCTCATTCTCTTCATACTTAACTAGGCTTAAGATACTTCTTGGCTCTATTTGTGCATTTAGGGGCATGATGAAAGAAAATGATTATTGGCTCTGGAATTACTGTCCAACTATTTGAATGAATTTAGCTTTTCATGTGATTGCCTCTGTTCTTGAAGTGACTATGATGAGCAATAGTCTCTATTCTTTACTTATAAATTCCATTCCCTTCACCTCTTCATCATTTCTCCTTTCTGACACACGCCACATTAAATTTTGCAGGTTCATATTGTTCAAAGGGGTGCTGTCCGACCCTTGATTGAAATGCTTCACTCTCCTGATGTGCAGCTGAAAGAGATGTCAGCCTTTGCTTTGGGGAGGTTGGCACAGGTTATTATTTCTATTTTCGTTGTTGTGAAAGATGCTTAACGGCTTTTGTCTTCAAATCTTGCTAATGCTTGTCCACTTTTGCTGAGACAATAATGTGATCCCTTATCTCTGCTTAAAATATTTGTTTTTGAATAAAATTTGAAGTTAATTTAGTTTATGACACCATGCCAGTTTCTAACACATTTTTCCCCATAATGGATCTATCCAACCACTTGTTCTTTTGCTTCCAGGATTGTTGTAAGTCATGTAATTATCATGGCTTTGTTGGAATGTAGCCAATATGCATCCCTTGTTTTCCACTCTTTAAAGTATCACGCCTCTCAAAATTTTCACCATGCTTTTTTGCATATCAATTTTTTGCATGACATCTTAAGAAAACTTTGCTCCTCAGCATTGAACGGAAAGGGCTCATTATATTTGTCTCTTTTATTTTTCTTGTTTGTGGGGTCTTTATAGTTGCTTCTGAGACAATTAATACTCTGCTAAATTTCCTTTCTTCACAAGCTGGAACTAGTAGTTAGGTCTATGTCACTAAAATGTAATTTTGATTGCAGGACGCACACAATCAAGCTGGTATTGCACATAGTGGTGGTTTGGTTCCTTTGTTGAAGCTTCTAGATTCAAAGAATGGATCTCTGCAACACAATGCTGCGTTTGCTCTTTATGGTCTTGCAGATAATGAGGTATGTGGCATGTGGTAGCTGTCAACCTTTAAAAGGTTCTTGGACTTATATTTTGGGGTCATGGTATACATTGTTAATATATTCTTCTCTCCTGTAGGATAATGTATCCGATCTTATTAGGGTGGGGGGTGTCCAACAGCTGCAAGATGGAGAATTTATAGTACAAGTATTTCAATTCTTTTAGATGTTGCCTTTTTACTCTCCTCTTAGTTTCCATGCTACTAGTTTCTTAGTTGTTGCATGATATCCGTAAGAAATAAAAAACTTCACTAGCTCATTGCGTTGTTTTTAGTTCCTTACTGATTTAATGTTATTGGTTTATGGTATTTTCAGGCAACAAAAGATTGTGTAGCCAAGACATTGAAAAGACTAGAGGAGAAGATTCATGGGGGAGTAAGCATTTTCATTCCTATAAGGCTATAACTATCCTTTGACTATAATTATATGTTTGGACTAAAGAAATGTCCGGCTATTCAATACTCTTTATGTTTTAGGTATTTGGTTAATCTTTTGTAGGTTTTGAACCATTTGCTGTATCTCATGAGTGTAGCCGAGAAGGCAGTACAAAGACGAGTGGCTTTAGCTCTAGCTCATCTTTGTTCCCCTGATGACCATAGAACTATATTCATTGATAATAATGGTCATTTTCTTTGCCCCTTCCCCAGTTACTCAACATCAGTCATTCTTTATTATATGCAATATAAAATGACTTACTGTGTAAATGGAGTGCAAATGTTTTATCGATTTGAGAGGCTGATTGTGCTATGTTTTCATGCAGGACTTGAACTCCTCCTTGGTCTTCTTGGTTCTACAAGCTCTAAGCAGCAACTTGATGGTGCTGTAGCTCTGTACAAGTTGTCCAACAAAACTATGACACTTTCTCCTATGGATGCAGCTCCCCCTTCTCCAACACCACAAGTGAGTTTGTAACATTGGTTAGTCTAGTGTCATGCACTCCGATTGCCTGAATTAACATCATTCTGAGAAATTGATCTTATGTTTGACCATATACTGTTCCATAGTTATTGCAAGGGTAGATCGACAACATTCTCAGAGTTGGCTTTATATGGAGGAGAATAGTTCATATTTATGGAAGTTCTATGTATGTTCCTGTTATAACATACAACTTCTATGCAGGTCTATTTAGGGGAGCAATATGTGAACAGCGCTACGTTATCTGATGTCACCTTCCTAGTTGAAGGTTATACGATTTGCTTACCCAAGGCTCTGATACTTGCTATGAAAAAAAATAGTTTGTTACATGTCAAAATATAGCTTTCATTTCAACTAAGATCCTTTATTTTCTTTTCTTGCAGGTAGACGATTCTATGCTCACAGAATCTGCCTGCTTGCTTCTTCAGATGCATTTCGTGCTATGTTTGATGGTGGTTATAGGGTGAGTTCCCTTTTGCATCCTTCTAATTTTCCTGTTGTTCGTCCCGTCCCGAAAGGGGCCCAGTTTTTTATTCAAAGTACATTTCTAACAACTCGTAGACTCCATGTCGTATTTCTTTATCTTGCAGCTGATCTGAGATAAAGTCCATTATTTCTGATGATTCTGAATGTATCTAAGCTCATCTATTTTTTTTCTAACTTGGGGTTTTTCACTTGTAACGCAAGCTTTACATTGGTCCTTTTGAAAATACTGGATTGATAATATGATGATTATCACTTTTGCTTTAAACTTATAAATGATGATGTTGTCGAGCTACATGATGATCCTTTTTTAAATTCCTTGTGGTCTATGTTGCAGGAAAAAGATGCAAGGGATATTGAAATACCGAACATTAAATGGGAGGTTTTTGAGTTGATGATGAGGTATTACAAATTCTTGGATCAAGATGTATATACATCGGATTTATATCTTTCATTCTCTTCGAGCATCATTTTATTTACTTTTATTTTATTCTTTGTACAGATTTATATATACCGGCTCAGTAGATGTTACGTTGGATATTGCACAAGATCTGCTCAGAGCAGCTGATCAATATCTTCTGGAGGGACTTAAGCGACTTTGTGAGTATACCATTGCACAGGTGAGCCAAAAAGGATGTCCGTAGATATTTCGAACCCTTCCATTGCCTTAAAATATTTGATCTGCATCTGATCATTTCGATGTTCTCGTTGAAGGATATCTCGCTTGATAATGTTTCGAGCATGTATGAGCTGTCTGAAGCTTTTCATGCCATATCGTTGAGGCACACTTGCATTTTATATATCTTGGAGCATTTTAATAAATTGAGCGCAAGACCTGGGTATGTTTCGCCACGACCCTGCCCTTCTTTGGGAATTTAAGTGTACGTAAATTGAGCGTTGCATGTTTACTCTGCCATGCTGAATAAATTTGCAGGCACTTGCATCTAGTCCAGCGAATAGTTCCCGAGATCCGCGATTACTTCGCTAAAGCACTCACGAGATGTAACCCACATAAACTGCGGCTATAGAAGTCTTGGTCTTTAACTCCTGATCTCTGACTAGGTATGTTGTACAGAAAGTAGCAGGACTCATCGATTCTGATCCCGATTGATTATTCGTAGCGCGAAGAAAGTATCGATTTCTTCTTTGATTCATTTTCGTTCGGAGAAATATCGTGAATTGTGTTGGTTATTATATATATCGGAAGTGTTATCAGAGTCGGTTGTCGTCGTCGTCGTCGAGAATGCTTGGTTAAATTTGAGCATTTTGCACGTTTCTTTTACTAGCCTTGACCTTACAAGTTTCTAAATTTATTGGTTACAAATTTACTTAAACGAATTTAATATCCCATCTAATTAATCTGATTAGTTAATCATTAATTTTACATAATTTATCTAAATTTATTTGAATCCAAAAACTCAATTAAAACCTCAGTTTAATTTTTGATCACATGTTATCTGCAAACTGATTCTTCCGATTGAATTTAATTTTTTTTGGTAAATTAAGTGTTTAGTACTTAAACTAATTTTAATTTGTTTTAATGTTTAAACTTTAATTTTTTTCAAAATCGTACTTAATGTTTTGTTTTTGTTTCGTTTTAGTACTTCGTGTTAAAAACTGAATGAGTGATTTGCGTGTGGTACCTTTTTTAGCGGGTAAATTGTATCATTCATCTCAATTATTTTTTCACTTTTATTTTGGTCATTAATGTTCAATTTTTTAATTTAATTAATTTTTAAATTACTTTTAATTCAATCACTCTCACTTTGAAATTTATTTTTTTTAATTATATATTAATAAAATAATAATAAAAGATTTCATGTCAAAAAATCATTTATAAAATAAAATAGAATAAAATAGTAGTAATTTGAAAGTTGAGCCTTAAATTAAAAAAAAATTTGAACTTTAGTACCAAAATAAGAGAGAGAAGATAGTTGATAAATGAATGAAGCAACCTACCCATGAAAAATATAGTGGTGTTAAGTTTTTAACAACGAGATATTAAAATGAAACAAAAACTAAATGTTATATATGATTTTGAAAATTTTAAAATTTAGGTACTAAAACATACTAAAACTGATAGTTTAGGTATTAAATACATAATTTATCCAAAATTTCTTTTCATAAATCTAAAATAATATTTATTAACAATCATAAGAATAAATAACCGTAACAACGAGCCATTAACAATCATTTAAATGAAAGGTAGTCCGAATAATTAAACAAACTTGAGACAGGAGAGCCGGATTCTGTTAATATTGAAATATGGCCAGATTCCTTCTTGGTAAAACAACAAACATAACATAAGAAAAGGAAATTATGCTTAAATATAATGTCGAGGCACAGGAGCACAATGGATTTCATCTTCTATTGCCACACGTCCTACACACTAAACAAGGAATGACGCCGGCGGCCGGTTGATGTGTTTGATAGCATTCTCAGAATCATGAACATCGATATGAAACGGATGAATTTCACCATCAACATCCACCAACTTTACTTCACTGCATTATTATACAAGATCCCTCTGTCCCTCAACGGATCCTCTCCGGCAACACTGATAAGCAGCCTCGAACATCCAAGACCGACCAAGATCGGAGCTCCGGGAGCCCCTCGGATGATCGATACCCCCGGGCGCCTCCGGATACACCAAGTGCCAAATGGTGCACGTTGCCACTTTCTCTCGTTTCTCAACATCTCAGACCCGACTGGCTTGGAACCCCAGGCGGTTTTTTGTTTTCTTAAAAGGTTAAATTACACCATAAGTCATTGTATTAAGAGTAATTTCTTAATCGGATTATTTATTTAAAATGTTACAACCGAATTACTTTATTTGTCCATTGATAACAATCATATCTAAGGATGGGCATGGGTCGGGTTTTTGGTGCACCCGACCCGACCCGAGAACAAGGAATCCTCCACCTGAGATCCGATCTGATCCGACCGAAACAATATTTAACCCGACCCGACCCAATATATAACTTAAAAATCCGACCGACCTGAAATAATAATAAAAAATATTTTTATTCAATAAAAATAGTGATTTAATTGAAAAAATAATATATAGATGGTATTATTGTAATTATTCCCAAATATATAAGGTAAAATTATTTTTTTCGAGTCGGGTCAGGTGTTTTTCACCCTAAATCCAAACCCGACCCGACCCGAACATTATATTTAAAAAATCCGAACGACCTGATCCTAATTAAAAAAAAAATAACCCGATCGGAACCCGTTGGGTTCGGGTCCCATGCCCATCCCTAATCATATCATTATTGATCTTCCCTACTTTAGATCTTTTGATTGAGCTTGAATACACAATTCATATTCATAGACAATTTTCTCACGATATTTGATTCTGATTTGCGGTTGTCGTTGATGTTTTAGTAGTTTAATCTCATATTGTGATTTGTTTATCGATACAATCATTTTTGTTTGTATCTTTCTTTTGTTCAAGTTTTTTTTTTGTTGATATTTAAACTTTTTCTAGTATCATCATTGTATGATTTTGAGTGACCACTTTATTATATCAATAATTATAAAAAAAATCTAAATATATACTTAATTTACGAACTTGACCTCGTAATAAACTTTTACATGATCTAATTCCGATTAATCAATTAATAAATTAGATCTCGTAGTCATACAAAAATGAATATATCATAAAATTATCTATTTATTTTACTATGGGCCTCCATTGGGCCTTAATTGTATTAAAATTCCACTCAATGTGAGGTTTGCAAAATAAAAAATAGTTTATTGTAATTCCTTTGACTAAAGGATTATGTACTTATAATTTATTAAGCACACATTTAGTATTATGCCATGTCATGCGGTTGACATATTTATGGATATGGCATGTCAACGAAGTAGCGTAAAGGCACACAAATGCTTGTATTATGCACCCAAATAGTATGTGCTTTTAATAATAAAACTCTTTCCAATAATATAATAAAAGTTAAGGGTGTTCAAAAAAACCCTAACCGTTAATCGGTATAATCATCACATTTAACAGGTTAATTAACCAAATCGTTAATATTAAATGATTTCGATTAACTGAACCAATAAAAATAATTGTTAACGGTTAAGGTTACGATTACGATTACGAATTTTGATAAAAGGTTAACCAATGGTTAAACGTTAATAAATTCAATTTATAATTATATTTCAAATTTATTATATTTTTAATAAAAGTTGTATGCAAATAACTTAATATATATATATATATATTATTTCTTTGAAAATATAGAAACATACTTACACCAATATAATTATGTGGTTATTGTTAGGTACTGAGATATTGGGAGATGCACATACTTACATCGATGTAGTCTTTTTATTTTATTCACTTACACATGTGTAAGTATGCGTTTAACTGTTAAGTGCTACACTCTTTTTAATTTTATTTACTTACATAGAGGGGTGTGCAAAACTATTCGACCCGGTTGACTCGACTCGGTCAACCCGGTTGACTCGACCCGGTTGACCCGACCCGCCGACCCGAACCTAAAAAAATCGAGTATTTTTTTAAAAAAAAGATTACTCGGCTAGGTAGGGCCCGGGTCACAAAATTGAAGTTTTACTGGTACCCTGTTACCCGAGTACCCGGTTAGTTATATATATATATAAATATATTATAATAGATTATTTATATTATGGGTTATTAGGTTTTGTATTTCAAAATTTTAAATTTTATGTTCGGAAGTTGGAGTATGTAATTTAAAGTTTCGAATATTTAAATTTGTGTATATAATTTTTTAAATTAATAATTTTAAAATGAAAAAAACGGGTACCAGGTACCCGCAACATCCTGGTCGGGATACGGGTCGAGAAATACCCGAAAACCCGGGTTCCCGGATTTACACACCCCTACTTACACATGTGTAAGTATGTGTTAAGTACTACATATTTTTATATTATGTATTAGGAAATTAAATCAAGAAAATAAATCAATTATCCAATTCTTTCATTAACAAACTCGAACGCAATAATTTATTTGCAAACATGTTTGCATGGATTGATGACGTCGTCCCTACGAGTTTTAAAATTAATTAAAACAAGTGGGGATGGTTGTCAAAAGGCATAATGAAGGTGCTTTGTAAACGTGCTTACTTCAGCCGTGAATTGTATTCTCGTCTTTCTTAAAAGGTCTTAATTATAATAATTAGGTCATGCCAAATATTTATTCATTTAATTAAAAAAATAAAAATAATCAAACTTTGTTAGTATTTCTTCAAGTAAAGAAAAATAGAATTAAAAAAAAATCAGAGAAATCAGATAGATTCTGATGTAAATCGATTAAATGCATGACTTTAAAAAAAATAATCTTCAATGTGATATATTCAAAAAGCTTTTATTGTTACACAAACCAAACGATTTTAGTAGTA